GTACAGTGGAGAGAGGAAGATTTGCTTTGTTCTCATGACTCGCCCAGCAGGCTGGTGTTTTCTCCACAGAAGCTGGTTACCCTCCACTGGTTTGTGTTCAGATGAAAATCAAACAGTAAAGATTGCAAAGCCTCTTTGATGTACTTACCCTGCACTGAGGGAGAGCTACCTGACCAGCTCAGGAGACTGTCACAGGTCTTATTCCTGCTCTGTGGACAGGGACTGTCTGGTCATTGTTTCAAAGGCTGCAGAGTCTAGAAAGGGACATATTGCTTTAATGGTACATTGTCCAAGCGGAAGCTGCTGTGGTAGTTAAATAACTTACAAAATAAGCCATTCCCATGGAAGTGCTTTTGGCTGAACTGACTGTTACATATGAGTTTTTCCTGGCATGACCTAGCAGGTCCTGGCTGTAGAAACCCTGCATTTTCAGCATCGATTTGGCTCGTCTCACAGTGAATCTTGTCTGGTCATTAACATCCATTAGGGATTCTCTCTGTGGGAAGTGAAGCCAAACAAATGAAAAATGATGGTTTCGCAGTGCAATAAACCCTAGCCTGCATGGAAGCTTTTGTTCAGACATAAAGTGCTTTCAATTAGTTTTTGTTTAATTTACTTCCAAATTAAACAGAGGTCCTTTGCAAGATGGCCACTGGTTAGTTTAATGTAACTTTCCTGAGTGTTTACTTGCAGGTATTCTTTTAATCAGGTGCAGTTTGTACCAACAAAGTGAATTCTTGCACTTTTTAAAAACATGAGATAGGATTGAATGTTGGTATTCATGAACACCCTTCCAGAACTAAGATATATGCTTTCATATTTGTTTAAATACACAGTGGTTTGGATCCAGATGGGCAGCTCTAGCCATAGTGGGAACAGTGTGATTTCAAGCTTGGTGGGACCTGCACCTTTCTGTAGGAGATGGATTGTTGTGGTGGGAGAGGGCAAATTGCACCTGTTTGTTCCCACATCTGCCCTGCCCTGTAATCCCAAGATTTAGTTCACATAATCTCAGTAAATTAAGTGTATGCTTATTTATGTGTGAGTTTCATGGTGTTGGCAAATACCTCCAGCTCCAGAGTGCTTTTGATGGTGTTTGAGGCAAACATCAGGCTGCGGAGAGTCACCAGAGCTTGGAAAATAAGCCTCCCAAGAGTCACTTTTGAAATGTGTTTCAAGACCTCAGCAATATCTTTCATCTTACTTCCTTTAGAAATTAAAAAAAAAATAATAAGCCAGAAGGTAGTAGGAAAGCTTGTTGCAGTTGTCTAGTCTTGGTGTGCAAACCAGAGGCAGCTCAAGTAAGCGCTGTGATAGGAGAGATAGCAGTGTTTTATTTGCCATACGCTGATGGAGAGTTGCTGTCTGCACGGGTGAGTAGCCAGTTCCATGCTCCACCAGTGTGCCCACTGGTGTCCCATGCTGCCTGGGCAGTTTCTGTCCGAAGTCCTTACTTGGCTCCCTGCTTTTCCAGGGCTCGGTGGGTGCCCGCTGCAGCAGCTGGAGCAGTGAGGGAGAGGTATAGAGGTGCTGCATCATCTGCTTGGCTCCAAAGGCCCTTGTCAAGTGTTGCTCCAAACTGCTCTCTTGTGCCTTTTAAGTGGTGGTCATCATCATGGGGTGTGCATTGCCCCAGGTGGGAGGCAGCTGGAGCTGCAGCTCTCTCTGGGTCAGGCCCTGAGGCTACTGCCCTGGGAGAGCCATGCTGTGCTGGAGGGGGGGAAGCAGCAACACCTGGAGGAGACCTCTGCTGATCTTCTTCCTTTCCGGTCAGGTCAAGGGAGAGGTTCCCTGGGGGTAGGAGCTGTGACAGCCACGCTGGTTCAGCTTGAGACGAAGGGAATGGGAGTGTTTGCATTCCAGGTGAAAGCTGAGGAGGAGGAGGGAGCATGGGCAGCTGCAGCCCCCGTTGCCTGCAGAGACAGTCAGCCTGGGGAGAGTGTGGGGCTGCTGCCCTCAGACTTTGCCTGTGGGGAGGGTGGCTGCCTGAGTCCCCCTGCAGCTGCCATACTTCTTCAGCCTGCTCCAGAGAGCCATTCCTGCCTGAAATAAACGGGGTGTGTGGGAGAAGGAGGCACGGAGCAGGAAACGATAATGTTAATGTTCCTTGTGGATGAGGAAGAAAGGGCAAACAAGGAGAAGCCATGCTTAATTTAGGTAGATGGCTGAGGAGCTGTGGGGATAGGGGGACATCAGTCCCTAGGGTTCTATGTGGTCAGGCAAACTGTTGTCTAGGGGAGTAATATTGCTCCCATTTCAGTCTCCCCGTTGTATCTTCTGTTTAATGATGTCATGGGTGAAACCTCCTGGAGTGACTTGTTGAAAGTCAGTTCCCTACAAGCAGGCCCATGGGACCCGACCTGTGAGTATCTGCAGACCTGGAATCGGGGCGGGTTGGCGACACGTGGACTGGCGTGCTCGGAGCAGGAGCAGCTTCAGAGAGCCCTCGGCAGGCAGCTGTATGTCTGTGACCTTCCCAAGGGGCGAGACGAGAACTCACCAGGAACTCTGTCTTTTCCTCCCTCTCCCCCTCCCTCAGGTGGTCTTTGCTTTGAATCAGACTCTCTTGCAGCAGGAGAGCCTCCGAGCAGGCAGTTTCCAGATCCCCTATACGACAGAAGACCTTATCAAGCATTACAACTGTGGGGACCTCAGCTCCATCATCTTCAACCATGACACTTCTCAAGTGAGTCTTGCCACTGCAGCCCTTGTACTACGCACATGTCACCATAGTGCTAACCCCTGTCTCGCTCACGCTCATCTCTCCTCAGGCAGGCCCTTTGCAGACAAGGGCCAAGGGCACAACGCTGGCTTTCTGCATCCTGTCCCAGGAGTCTGCACCACCTCACCGCTGTCTTGCTGCATGCAAGCAGCGAAGGTGCACCTGGCTTTCCCTTTTGGACGAGTGCTGTGTTTGCTTTAGCGTCAAAGCTCTATGAGTTAATCCTTTGTTTTCTTAAGGATCCTGTGGAATTACGCTAGCTTAGGTATGAGCGAACTTAGCACCAACAGAGAGGCTCTTTTGTGCAAATAGCGACAGAGAAATGCACTCGTGACTTGGATGCTTGTGTAAGGCTGGGCAAGTTGCAAGCTTTTTAATGTCCCCTATCAGTATGATTGTGTACTATGGGCTAGGCCCAAAGAAGAGAAATGGAGTGAAACAAAGAAAAGATAGGTTTAGACTGAATGTTAAGGAAAAGAAAACCTTCTGAGGCCTCACAGACTTGGTTTATGGAGACGGTTTCCTAAGCAGCACAGTGGAATGCAATGCTCTGATCTTTAAACCACGAGAAAATGCCCAGCAGGGACCAATTGGGCCTGTTTGGGCTGTTAGATTAGCTAACCTCACACTGAGACATCAGGCCTCTCTATTCTTGTCCGTGAGGACATCAGTGAAAACATAGGCTCTAGCCCTCTCAGTGCTGTACAAGTGAGTGTTGGTACCTGGGCTTTCCCTGCTGAATAACCATTTTCCTGTGGCCTTTTGATATATACGGTGCAGTGCTGCAGAGCTGGAAATACTGTCATGCTAACCCTTGCTTTTCCGGCACTGAGCTTTGCGCGCATGTTTTTCACCTTCCTGTCCTGCACACACTGCTTAGCTCTTACACAGTGCACTTCATTCATAGATTTCGAAGGGCTTCTCGAAGGAGGCCAGCACTGTGAGAACATACAGATGCTTACATCACTATTCTGCTGAGGTGTTACAGACTGCAGACAGCTGGTGTTGCCTGGAGGTCCTTGGAGAGAACAGCTCTTGCAGAGACATGCATGTCTCTGAGGGAGCCCTTTACTTACATGAGGGGCACCACCACAGGGTGTTGTCCCTCACAGCAGAGCTGAGTAGTGATAGCCTGCCACACTATCAGCTTACATTTTTAAGCAGAACTTCTCTGTAAATTGTATTTGACCCCATGTTTGCCCAGTAGATGACCCACTGTGGGCTAAAAACCCTTTGGAAACAGCCAGTAATAATCTCCAAGTGGCTCCAGAGCCTCTTCAGCTGCTGCAGCCTTGCAAGAGAAAGCACCTGACTTAGAGGCTCTGCTCCCCAGAAACCACCACTTGCAGGCCCTTTCCTTAGCAGGCCCCATAGCTGCAGTGCCAAAGCTACTGCAACTCCAAACCCATGTTTCTCTCCACCAGCAAGAGGTCACGATAGTGTGCAGCCACAGCTGTCCTGGGGGCCCGAGGAAAGGAAAGCGGTGTTTTAAAAGATACCTTGAAGACAGGGGAACTGGAGGTGGTAATACTTTCTTTCCTGACAAAATCTGGCCCTCTTTCTTTTGGAAAGTCTGGGGATGTTTTTGTTAACTAGTTCAAATTGCACAGTTATTCTCTGACAGCCTGAGGCTTCTGATGCCAGTCAATCTGTCTTAGAAGAGTGTAATTATCATTATAGTTATGCCATACCTATTGCAGTTTTAAGGAAGAGGTATTTAGCTAAAGATAGCCAGGGGCAAATATTTACTTAATTCAGCCGAGCAATCAGGATTTGGGATCTAGAGTGTGGCAAACTGAGAGTATTTGTTGACTTTGCATCAAGAAAAAATCAGCTGGCTGGTTTATGAAATGGTATGTTAAGAGAAATGAGGCACTATGCATTATTAGAAGTTTGCTTAGTCATTTTTAGCTTTCTTTGGGTTTTGTCCTACTAGATGTGCCTTGAGGGACAAGGTGGTTACCACATTCAATAATGGAGCAAAACGCCTGTGCATGATGGCTGTCTGTGAAATAAATGCCCCTTTCTTGAAGACTTTTTTTTTTTTTCCCCCTACCTTAGGTCCCAAATTTCATTAACGCTACACTTCCAGCTCACGAACGCATTACTGCCCAAGAGATAGACAGCTACTTCCGTCAGGAGCTCATCTACAAACGAAATGAGCGAATGGGCAGGAGGGTGAAGGACCTGCTGGAAGAGTACCCTGACAAGAGTTTCTTCTTTGCATTTGGAGCTGGTATGTGATTGAGGTGTTCTTCAACCTGAACACATTCTTCCCACATCCATTATAAGCTTTTTACAGATTCTTGCCTCAGTTTAAAGAAAGATCAGTACTTTTACTATGGTGGACACAGACCACAGCTTTGCCCCACTAGTTGTACCCTATTAGGAAAACTTTTTCAGTGTAAGAGACTGTTTTTCTTCAGTATGCAAAGAGTTCACAGTGTATGCATTGATTGCAATATTTATTAGTTACGGACTTACTTGTTATATGCATAGCCAAAGATACTAAACCAACTACACAAAAGGAAGTGCTCTTAGACATACATGCTTATACTCTGGCCAACCAGGGCCAGAGTGACAGGTAGCAACTCAGAAGTGGCACCAGCACTTTAATAAACCTTTCAAGAACACATCCAAAATAATAACATGCCAAATTGCGTCAATCTAAGGGACTCAATACATGCAAGGGGAGAGACAAGGCACACTTTCACCTTTCTCTTCCTGCTGCAGCTCCTTAAGTCTTTCACTGCTCTTTAACACCCACACTTCAGTCTAGGGCTGGGTGGAGGGTGTAAACAGGATTGCTTTGCCATGACTCCTATCCTTTGTTTTAGCTGCAGGGAAGGGAAGAAGTGAGGATGAGTGTTTGAAAAGACAGGTGCTAATTCCCAGAGAAGTATCGCATCCCCTCCACCATGAACCATATGGGCCTTTGGAAAGGGGGAGAACTGAAACTGGTTTCAGGATCCATGTGATGTTTTCCAGTCTCAGTGGCTACTGCTTTAGTGAGGATGGAAGATCTAGACAAGGCAAGGAAAATATTTACCTAGACGCTCTAAAAGCATTAGTATTCAAAGTCTGTGAGAATCTCCTTACAGCAGCAGGGAGTTGTGGTTACAAACTTACCATAACAAGAGTCCTGTGTGTGTGGGCAGGGTAGAAGGTGGCTGATAATGTCTGTTCAGGCATGCCTGAAGACTGTAATGTGCTATCTTCCTGCACTAGCACTGCTCTGTGCCAGTCCCTGTCATGAAGGACAGTGAAGCAGACACAGGTTATGTAAATTTTGGTCATGTCTGTCTGTAAGCTAAGACCAGGGCTTTGCTGTACTCCACTGCTGATGTTCTGATCTCACTTGTCCCTGCTGGACTGATGTTCCTGACTGGTGCATATGTCAGCCCTGAGTGCCAGTTGCGTCAGCTGCAGGTAGCTAGTCTGTTGTCAGGAGGTTAGTCACAGAGGTTGGGGTTCCACTAACTAAGTTGCAACTGAGCAATGAGCAGTTTTGTCTGGAGTAGAGTTAATTTTCTTCACAGCAGCTAGTATGGGGCTGTGTTTTGGATTTGTGCTGGAAACAGTGTTGATAACACAGGGGTATTTTCCTTACTGCTGAGCAGTGCTTACACAGGGCCAAGGCCTTTTCTGCTTCTCACACCACCCCACAAGCGAGTAGGCTGGGGGTGCACAAGAAGCTGGGAGGGGACACAGCCAGGACAGCTGACCCAGACTGGCCAAAGGGATATTCCATACCGTATAACATCATGCTCTGTATATAACTGGGTAAGCTGGCCGAGAGGTAGGATTGCAGCTCAGGAACTAGCTGAACATCGACTTTGGGTGGTAAAAAATTGTACTGTGCATCACTTGTTTTGTATATTCTATCAACACCATCATCATCATCATCTTTTCTGTCCTATTGAGCTGTGCTTATCACAACCCACAAGTTATACTTTTTTTTTTTTTTTCCTTTTTGATTCTGTCCCTTATCCCACTGTGGGGTGAGTGAGTGAACAGCTGTGTGGTTGTTTTAACTGCTGTCCAGGTTAAGCTACAACAGCAGCCCATGCAAATGGATGGATGTGGATGCAGGTGTCACTGTGAGTCTATACTGTCCCAAGAGCACGATTCTTTGAGAGAAGAGAGCCTCTTCCCATCTTTGCAAACACACCCTGCATCCCAGCAGTTGCATTGGACAAATCACATGTCTTTAAGATGCCTTTGTGTCATTGTCTCCCTGCCTACCAATTTCCTTCTCTTCCCCTCTTCTGCCCTGGACTGTCTTCATGGTAATTAGTGTGCACAGCTCTGCCCCAGAGCCCAGACGCACTGCAGGAGCAGGACAGATTCCTGTACTTCCCAATCTCTCTTGTTCTCAACCTTCATAACAATCCTAAAGCCCTTCCCAGGCTTTCTGGATTGTTCCTTTCCTCTTTCCTCTTATTTTCCTTTTCCCAGTTGCTCCCTTCTTTGTCCCCTGATTGCCTCTTCCACTAGAGCAGAGTTAGGAATCACCCAACACTGCTATACTGCAGCACTGCCTGGAGCCTTGGGCCTATATGAACACCCTTGATCTGAGGCTTATGGGCACATGGCTTGATCTCCAAGCACCAGGCATGCTCTTCCATTACACTTTTGAATCCAGACAGGTTCCTAGGGGACTCTAGATTGACTTTGAAATTGTCTCTAATTACACTCTGGCTTTGGTACCAGTGCAGCCTCTGTTCTACTGTGCTCTTCAAAATAGGTCTGCTCAAAGGACAGTACCAGCCTCCCACTTTTAGCAGCACAATTCATTGTTATCCATTTGTTTGACTGCATGGTGTTGTTTTTGGTTTTTTTAATTTGTTTCATATTAATTATCTAAATGAGAAGTAACATCACAGGATGTAATGCAGAAAACAGATCAATTTCTACACAGTTCTGAGGTTTTCTGAGAGCACACTACGAATATGAGTACAGATTTTTATTGTTTGCCATCAAGCTAATTTAGCCTTTTGCTTATCTAGATTGCTGTATGTGATAGATAATTATGCAGTTTATTTTTACGCTGGCAAACAGTGAAGATGAACAAATGTTTTGTGTTCAGTTTTAAAGCATTACTTGAGTATTATGCTGTTGTTACTTACTGGAAAAGGGTTGCAGGAAGGTGCTCACACAAGGCAGGTTGGAATGAGCTATGGAAGAAGAGAAGTGAGAGAAAGGCTATAGGAATGGAATTAAATCATCACTGCATATTGGTTTACCCTCTTCTGGCCACCAGTGAAAAGAGTATCTCTTTTGAGTGACTGACAAACTGCAGGAGGAGGTTGTGTTAAAATGGTAGTAGGGTGTCAAAGGGTATCCATGTTAGAAGGGGGAAAAGCCTTTCAGGTTTTTTTTCCAGATTTTTTCACCCTGTGTTTTTTAGTTTTAAAATGTCTAGGCTTTTTGTAAGGGAAATTCATTTTTTTCCATTAACCAAACAACATTGAAAAACACACTTTTATCATCAATTATATCCAAACGAGGTCATGGTTTGTGGGTGGCTCTGGTATTATGAATACTCCCTCTTGTTATTTAAACTCTTTGTATTTTTATTTTAAATGGAGGAAAATCAGAAGATGTTGATGATTTATTATATATTCCAAGTGGATTGATGTTGTTTAAATATGTGTCATACATTGTTCAAAAATAAAGCTCCTGTCACTTTCCAGGTCTTAATACAGCTGCATGGCTATAGACGTTGATTTCTTACATGGAATGACTTGTGGTAATTTGGACAGTACTAGATTTGATCATTAGATCTAGTGTATTTTCTGCTCTTACTACATTTTAACAGATCAGACAAACGCACCCTATATTGTAGAAAACCTTTCACATTCAATGCTTATTTCTGGAACTATTTTTATTTGGAAGTAATTTAAGCTTGCACAGAAGTGGAGAGGAAAAAAAACTAACAGATTTTGCTGAAACTGTCCAAAAAGCTTTGCTTCTGGCTACAATGAAAACATAAAATGTTTCAAGCCAGAATAAGTCTGTTTGAGGGAATTAGAGGAAAGTATGGGAAGAGAGGAATCGTAATGCCAGAGGCATTCCTCTAGGTTCAGTAAGGATTTTATCTTAATTGTGGACAGACCCTTTTGTATGGCAGCACTACAGTTACAAGCCAGACCTACTTCCTGTTGCCGGTGGAAAAACTTGTGAAGCAAAGCCAGCTATAATCTTTCACAAGCAGTATTCCTTCTATATGCATCTTCAATTTCTCTGAACTGTAAGTGGAGCCTTCAAGATCTGAATGCTAAGCCAAAGTAAGTGATGGCACATGTGATTCCATAGACAGCAGCTAGATAACACTATATGTTTCTGGTTTGTCTAAGAGGTGCATATTGACATGTAGAGGGCTACGTTGTCCTACTGTGCTGTGGAGAGCTTTACCACTTGTACAGGTCTTACAAGGATGTTGCTGGCTGGCTGAAGCTTCACAGAATCACAGGATAGTTGAGGCTGACAGACACCACTGGATATCATCTGATCCACCCCCCTGCTCAGAGCAGGATCATATAGAGCAGTTTTCCTAGGATTGAGTCTGGTCAGGTTCTGAGAATTTGCAAGGACGGAGACTCGAGAACCTCTCTGGGCAACCTATTCTACTGTTTAGCCACTCTCACAGTACAGAAGCTTTTTCTTATGTTGAAGCGGGATTTTCTGTTTATCAATTTGTGTTCATTGCCTCTTGTCCTTTCAGGGGGCACCACTGAGAAAAATTCTGCTCCATCTCTTTTATAACCTCTCTCAGGTATTTATACACCAATTATAACTCCTCAAGACTTGTCTTCTTCAGGCTGAACAGTTCCAGCTCTCTCAGTCTCTCCTTGTATGACAGATGTTCTCATTTAGAAATGATTTACAGGATAATTTGCTCCATCACCTTCCCTAGGAGTAGAGGTGTGACTGACCAGTCTGTAGTTCCCCAGATCCTTCTTCTTGCCCTTCTTGAAGACAGGAGTGAGGCTTTCTTCCAGTGCTAACAGCGACCTTCCCCAATTGCGACAACCTTTTAAAAGATAATCAAGAGTGGCCTTGCAGTGACATTGGCAAGCTCCCACAGTTCCTCTGGGTTGTACATGTCTGGTCTGTTTGAATGTTCATCAACCTGATCCTTCTCCACCCAGGGTGAACCTTCTTTGCCCTGGACTTTCCCTCTAGTCATAGGAACCTGAGATTCTTTTAAGGCTGGTTTTACCAGTAAAGAAG